AAAGATGCTTCAAAAACAGGATTGTTCTTCATGTAGGCACATCAAAACTCATTTTGTAGCAATTAGCTCAGGTATTGATAACCGCAGTGGAACCAGCAAGAGGCTCATTCCAGCATCCAGTTGGACGTGTAATTCACAGCCAGCTAGTACTGAGTTACATCTTCCTAAGGCTGCACTGCTAACAGTACGTAAGCCAGCTATTTCGCAACTATGTTTTTACCTTTCCATATACTACAGTCACACCTTCAACTGCTAAGAAGACATGCTCAGAATGACACTCACTCCTAGCACGGGAGATGCTGAAAATGATGATGAGAAGCATCTAGTTCCAAAAATATCTGCTAACTTCAGGTGTCAACCTAATAACCGATTTTCAAAAGTGTGTACTGGGCAATTCCTGTAGGAAAAAAAAAGCTCAGACAGTGAACACATAGTCCTGAAAAGTTTCAAGCTGGGCATCTACAAACTTAGGAACTCAAAATTGGCTGCTACTAGGAGATATTGGCTAAATTTGCTGCCTTTCATATCAACAGGGAAAATGCTATCTCATTTGCTTAAAATTGTTTGCTTTTACTGAAGGCTTACTGTGTCACAAGTCTGTACACACAGGAATACTTATCTATCCCTATGACTACATGTGTTGTTCTAAGAACTGCAGTTTGAAAAGAGACTTTATTTTTTGGAGCCACTTGGCCCTCAGAGGTCTCCGCTGGGTTCTAACCTCCAGCAGCAGAACCAGTCCTTGGGGTCTCAGCCAATGCCAACCTAAGTTATGAAAAGTCTTTCCTTAGAGTTCAGTGGATATATTGGGTCTTCAACATTCAGTCCTTACCAGCCAATGGGTGTGCTGCGACCAAGACAGATATAAAAAGGAAAACACTGTTTTTCAGTTCCTTCACACTATCTTCCTGACAATAAGGGGAGTTACTATGCAGAGTATTAGAGAGTTATTTAGCACTGCCTGCTGTAAACTGTTACCCAGACCGAGCTTAAACATTCTGGGAAGTGTGAAACCACAGACACTGCTGGTTCAACAAAAGAGCTCTTAAAAACACCTTTCTTTTCTTTAGCCTGACATGCTAGATCTTATTTGGCAAACACTGGCCTGCATGCACAAGACACTCTGCACATCGTAAGATTTTGGGTCACAGGGAAGGTCTTATGTAGCTGTAGAAATTAATCTAAGCTTAACACAGAGCAGGCCTCAAGGTGATGTCAAAGGCTAATTCAAATGGTGTAAACCTATCTTCCACAGCCACCAATTTTATTTATATGATTTTATCTTTTCTAATTAAAAGAGTGGTGGTCTGCACAGAGGTACCTCAGAGGTACGCCTCAGCTATACCTGAGGTATAACTGTCTGACACTCAGATCCTGATCATCGGGCCCTGGTTAACGAACATTGATTTTCTGCCCCAGTGGAAGTGATTTTATTCTGATGCATGCCATTTAAATTCATTTTACACAGCTGTTTAGTGTGGCTTGGCAAGGCAGAGGCAAACCAGCTTTCTATGTCTACATGAGACTCCTCAGTGGGTAAAGGATAGATCCTGTGGATTAACAGCTGAAGATAATTTTCTCTCCCCTATTGATACTTGGCTACTGATTCAACAAGTTGACCTTGAAGGGGATCACAACCAACTTGTACAGAAATACTGCTGTGTAACCATGACTCTGACACAACCGTTTCATTTTCTTCTTAATTCTACATGGAGGGGTGTGTGTTATAGTAATAAACATCCAACTGCTGAATCTTATAAACTCAAGACACACAAAGAAAAAGGCTGGATACTATTCATGCACTTTGGCACAGAACAGTGGATGTCTTTCCACAGTCAGACAAAATAGTATGGTGTGAGTTCTCTCCCATTTTACTAATTTTCCCTTTTTGAACAGAAGAACCAGTAGACTTGTGTTCTAGTTTCTTGTTGTGGTTTGTACCTTTTAATGTGAACATATATGAATGATGTGATTAAGGAAACAAACAAAGAAACAAAAGCAGCTACAGAAAACTGGTAATTAAAACTTTTTAATAACCATGAAGGCAGAAGGAATTTGGGTATTATGGATTTCCTATGGAGGTAACAACCGAAATAACACGATGGCAGGGAAGTTCATGAAACTTGAATCTCAGCTGAAGCTGGGCTTAGTTGTGAGCAAGCAACAGGCTGGAAGCCAGTGTGGATACTTTCTCCCAGTGCTGTAATTTATGACATGGTTACAGAAATCACAGTGTGACGGACTCTGGTGAGAAATCAGTAGCTGCATTTCAGGAGAATGTTTGCACTGGTTATTCAGTGCTCCTAAAAATCGTTCTGCTACCTAACTGTAATTTTTCAAACACATGCACACTCAATTACAGTGTAATAAAACTTCCTTGGAAAATCCCATTAAGAAACCCTGTCATCACTCCTGCAGTACACCACCTCTAAGAAATGGATCATATTTGGGGGCTGCACCTCACTGCCCAGGCAGAAATGACAATAACACCAACAAGTCAAGAAAACAGAGTTGTACAGCACCGCTGCGAGACAAGAACACCAACAATGAGGAGAGAGAGACGATGCCTGGGTCAGGGGAGGAGGGATCTCATTCCTCCTCAGTGATGAGGTTCTTCTTTTCCTTCTCAGGCACAAGGAAACAGAGCCATGCCAAAAGCCATGCAAGTGTGCGAGCGAGTGACATGCAGATTTTTGCTGTACTGTCACAGTGGCATTAGTAAAAAGAAAATGAAAAACTAAAATCCCCTCTATGATGTAAGTATTGTGTATCTTTCCCATGATTTTTTACATTCCTTCAGCAGCCAGATGGCATGTTCATAAACACTAAAAAAATTGCCAAGGTCCCACAGCAAGTCCAGTCTACACTGCTACCTAACCGTACTGGTCAAGCTGGTGCATCAAGGGAGCCTGAGCGTTGCCATAGTTGGGGTGCTGTGAAGAAAACATGGGACGTCTGCCAGCCCCAGACAGGCTGGGATAAGCAGGCGACCTAATGTATGCTGGCCTAAAGCAGAACAAAAGAACAGCCTCTTTGGATTTGCTCTGTATCACAAACAGGAATCACTGTCAAGTTCGTTCCTTCCATATGCCAGTAAGGGGAACTCACAGGAATAGCCAAAAGCCCTTTCTCCCCTACAGTCCACTTGAGATCAAAGAGGAAAACAGTGTGCTTGCAACCCCCTGGCATCAGAGGGGTGTGACAGGTTTCGCTCAATTTGCAGTTTATAAATAGCCCTTTTGCCAGTATTTGCAATAGAGATTCAATGACTGCTCAGCAATTCCACAGGTGCTGGACCCCTGGAATGGACAATATGTGATGGAAAGTCTCTGAAATGGTGCAGTTTTGCCCAGGCAAAGGTAGAAATCAAAAGCAGTTTTACAAAACTGACTTGGGAGGAAGGTGTGAGATAGGAGTGATATAATAATTTAAGCTAGCTTTTGATCAAACACCACACACTATGCCCAAAGTGTATGTTGAATCATAACCAAATAGTTTCCACTTAACACAAAGTCTTTTCCTGCTGTAAAAACCAAACACGAGCTTTTCCTTTCATTACATGATTATAAAGAAAGTGCTCCTGCAGCTGCAGTGATGGCCCATTTATTCCTTCGTGACTGACCTATCAGTTTATAGCCTAAACCAGACAGACAGAAGCAGACTTTTGTAAATCCTACTAGACAGGTCTGTTAAAACAAACAACACAAGCAAGAGCCTGCTGGTTCACGGATATCTGCTAGAGTATGGTCTATTTTAAGGGAAGGTGGTTCTATTTTACTGAACATGAAGTACACTAAATTTACTGTTCTTGCTTTAAAAGCTTGCTATTGCTTATCACTAGAAGCCACCTGCCTTCCAAACTTGCAAAACAAGCAAGCAACAGATAGAGGGACACATTAGCTTCCTATTGCTTGTTTTATGTTGGGTCTTGGAATTAGAGCAACTCTAGCATCCAGAAACACTGGTCTTGAATGATAAATACCTGTATGCATATATGCACATCTATGTAGGCATATGCATAAATAAATGCAAGATGCTTAATATACACAGACACATGAACACGCTCATCAGAACAGTGCAACCAGCTTTGTGTAATTCTTAAATGTAACGGAACTTCTTATAACAGAAAAATTTAATAAATATACCAGGAGTTATTTGAGTCCAGGGAAATGTGGAAATTACTTCATCTGAAAAATTTCCCAGAAAATACTATATCATTGCAAGTATTCAGGCAACTTAAGAATAACCATGGACAGAAAAGTGCCTTTGCCAAAATCCACGCACAAACAGCAACATGCAGGTAAGCTGCCCGAAGGCGAGACAAGAAGACCGATGATGGCTCCAGTGTCTACATTCCTGTTTGCAGGTTCTCTCTTACAGATACCTAAGTGGCAGTTATTAACTCCAGGTAACTACAGACTGCTCTTATGCCTCCTTCTGCCTTTCCCCTCAGCCCGCCCTCCTCCCCCTCTGCGTGTCTGCCTAGGAACAAGAACATCCTGTAGAAGACAACTGCCATCAGCACTGCTACTCACAACATGCACAGTAAATGCAAGAGTTGATGGGCAGCTTCATGAGCTTCCTTACTCCCCGGCAGGTGAAAGCTGCCAAGGACATGTTGGCCCTCTCTCTACTGAAAATTAAAAAAAAAAAATACATGCAGCTAATCAATTTTAAGTTGCAGAGGGCTTGTTTATGACTCCTAATGTCACTGCAACCCTGTGGGTTTTCCTAAAGCCTACAGTGCCAAGAACCAAACTGGAAGTGGCCGTTATCTCCATTGTCCAGCGGCTTTTTAAGAGGGTAATTAAACACACGACAGCATGCTTTACCCTTACATTTAAGGAAAAGTATTCTTCCCATGCGCCATCTCCTCCCAGAGATAAGGGCACAGATAGAACACATATAAATGCATATGCCGGCCTATACAGCGCCGTTACTTCAGAAGTGACAAGACAAACATTCCTACTTGTTTAAACTCCTTTCACCTGGATGCATACCTGCTCTGAGCGGAGTTTGCAGCAGCCTGCATCACTGCAGCAGCTGCCTCCTGTGCCTTACGGTTCACAGTTGGCATGGGTGGGCCCATCCCAGGGCCTCCCTGCTGAGACATGCCAGGAGAATTGGGGGTCATACTGCTCATGTTTCCAGGAAATGGTCTGCTCTGCATCCCAGCTGATGGCATCCGTCCCAGGGGCATGGTACCGCAAGGCTGGCTTGGCCCCTGTCCATGCATCTGACTGTTGGCATTTATACCCATGCCGGGTCCTGGGCCACTGTAACTTGTGTTGGGCACGCTGCTGTACGTCGGTGGTCTGGAGTAGTTTCCTGAACAAAATGATAAAAAGCACAAAGAAATATCTTAAATATTTCTATTTAGGAAGTTAGCAGCTGCAGAACTTAGACATTTGAACTGAAGTGAACCACGCTGGCCTCAAAGTCAGGATAACTTTTTCACCATGAGGACATACAAGCAGTGGAACAAGCTGCCCAAGGAGGTTGCACAGACTCCTCCTTGGAGGTTTTCAAGACCCAGTTGGATAAAGCTATGAGCAACCTGCTCTGATCTTATATCTGAACCTGATTTAAATACAAGGTAGGCCAAGAACAAGTCCTGAGCACCTTTCCAAAAAGAATGATTCTATGAACATGATTTTCATGTACCCTCAAACATCTTCTGACTAATATATGTCATGGGATAACAGGAAACACAGAAAAGTACAGCCTCCAGAGGGTTAACAACATAGCACACAGTACAAAACCACCTTATGCAGTAAAGAGATATGTGGCATGCAAGAAACTCATTCCAAAAGCTCAAGGGAGAGTCTTATTTTGATAATTTCATGTTCTCACTTGCCATCTTTCTGCAATTTCAGCAACAGGCTATTCTCACTGGCTCCGTGCTCCTAACCATTCTGCCCATTTGTGTCAGAGACGCTTTGGTACAGACCAGTGAGGATGGCTGCTGGGCCCCGAAAAACACTCCAGCTCCCTCCTGCCCTACCCTGCCTTCCTGGTAAGTTCAAAGTTTGTCTGTCCTGGCAGAAGGGGTGGTAGCTTACAGCGCACCTTCTCTGGGAAACTAGTATTACAAGAGTAATCAGCAACGGTACAAAGATGCTAATATAAACAGGTGCCTTATGAAGGATGGCATGAAAACCTGGCTGACCCTAATCTACGTTGTCACTGGAGCAAACTGCTCTGCTTGCAGCAGCTTAACTCATTTGAGTGCCAATTTTCTTATCATTTTGAAAGCTCAAGAAAAAGTGAGTGTACAGCATTCAGTGTTACAGAAACAAACACGAGCAGCATGAGAAAGAGAATAAAAGGTAAAGATATTATAGGAAAGTATTTTAGGAAACGGATCACATTACACTACTTCAGTCATCAGTTTTGACTTGTCTTTATTTCCATCTCATACAGATTAGTGGAAATGCGACCCGTTCCCCCCCGTGGGATGCCACAGAGCAGAATTTCCTGAGTACTCTCAGATATTCCCACGCTCGTTCAAAGGCAGCAGCCCTTGGACTCTTCCTCTGAATGTGGAGATCAGCCATGTCTCTCTTCAGGCCTCAGCTACCAGGCAGAGGAGTTGGTGGCATGCAACTCCTGGTTATGTTTAAAACAAATATATTCATCCACCATTTGAATGCACACATAATTAATTCATACGCTTCTGCTGCTGTGCTTTGGCTCATCCTCTCCTCCTCCCCGCCTGCTGACTGACTCACTCTGCTACAAGTCCTCCTCAGCAAGAATGCGATAGACCTACGCTTCCCAAGGAAGCGGAGCAATAATTCTCTTCCATTTCAGAAACCAAGTTTTTGCCTGGGGGTCTTCACAGAAGGATCCCCAGTATGTGGTTCAACAGAGATGAAAGGCTCCAGATTCAGCTTTATGCTGACTTCAGACCGCCCTGTCACTTCTCCTCCTCTAGGTTCGGCTGCTGGCAGCTGACTATTTTCTGTTCAGCAAGCCATCACCCCTAGCCAGAACCCACCCCAAGCCACACTTCTGATCCAATTTATGTGACCACAAACTGAAGGGTTCACTAGTTTCATACTGCTCTGTTTATTGTTAAAGGTGCAACGCACAGCTCAGATGTTGCTCTGGTTTTCCAGTTGCTTTGTGCAAGAAAAATGTAATGCAGCAAGATGGTGTATATGTGCGCTCAGAGACGACGCACAGCCAGTTAACACATTTTATGTACATGCTATTAGTAACCCTCCTCCCCAAAGTGAAGCAAATTCCCTTCCTAGACTAGCAGACCTGATATCCATAATCACTGGGAGCCTACTGTCAGTCCGATTTACATAAAGCCAATTTGTTTTGTCAGTTAGGTCTACAAAGTATGGTTTCAGCAGCATGCTTGGAGGAGCAAACACCAATGCTAAATACTGTTGCTGTTTTGATGCTGTTGTGAATTGGGACAAAAAAATCTCCTTCGTGTTTTGGCTTCTCCAGTGTAAGCACAACACAGAAAAAACAGTGGATTCTTCTCCATAAAAATATGTGGCTCAGTTAAAATAGCTCCTAATCATTCATCTCCTGGGATACACGTCCAAGAGCACAGGGAAGTGGTATCTTTTCAGTAAGGAAAACAAGTTTCAATGTTTTTTCCATGTTTTTTTTTCCCCTAAGCATTTCCTCAATACCTCAAGTACTAGCTATTCTTATACCTTTCCCAGACCACAAAAAAAGGGGCAAAATAAAAGCCAAACAAAATACAAGAGGAATTGCCAGGAATGAGGAGTGCAATCTTATTTCCATGTTTCTCTAATAGATTAGTAATTTGTTGGCAGTGGCTTTGACAGAAAACAGATGGATGCAGCATTAAACACAATGAATGCAGCAGATGCTAGGCCAGCCCACATCAGCTGGACGTGTCAGGCAGCCAAGTCCAAGAGCCCACACTTTTCAAGCGGGTACAAGCCTGGCAACAGCAGCTGTACAATAGTACTGAACAACTCCTCCCCTCTGTATACGAGGGATTTTTCATTCCAACTCCCCCTCGGCAGAGTAGAATTGTACCCAGAAAGACAACATCTCAAATGCACAAGAAAAACCAAAACAGTAACTGGAATCAGGAAGAAAAAAAAAAAGGTGTAATGAAGATAAAATATAAAAAAGCCTACTAACAACCTGCCAAAGACAGATGTTCACACTTACTGCTGAAACTCTGGTCCACTTTGTCCAGGTTTGCTGAACAAAGTGCTCTGATATCTTTGCCATTTCTAGGCAAGCTGAAAAGAGGGAAATTTGAGAATTACCTGCTAGTTTTGCTCTCTGCTTTAGAGACATAGGTCAAGATTCACAGCATTAAAAATAGTATCTTAAAATAATTTTAAATTTTTTTACATCAAGTCTTTCTTGTACAGATGATTTAAATGCATTGTACTGAAGTCCTCTGAAACTATTTTACCTAGGGGACTTCAGTAGATACAGTTGATATTTAAGTCTTAACTCCATAGGCTGTTATATATGTGGGTCTGGATTTGGAGGTCGAGACTCTCAAGACGCTTAGGGCATCTCATCCTTAAGATGCTTCCACTTCAATTAAAATCTAGGATTAAAATCAGTGGGAGCTAGACAGCAAAGTGCTTTCGTGAGATGAGTCCAACATTGAAGGTTACAAAGCACAAATACTCAATTCATATTACTTTAGCATGAATGAAAGGGGGTTTAACTTACTGTGAAGTTCTGGCGTTGTGGTTCAAACATATTCAGTAGCGCTTTCTCTCTTTGTTAAACCCAAACAGAACAGTTTTAGTGCTGAATTGAGTAGGAAAAGTTAGGGAGACAAGATGTGTTTCTGACATGTTTTACTGATCCACAAGAAGTTTTTCTCTGCCACAGTCTTAAAAGACCCAACTGACTACAGCATCTGCCTGCTCTCCAGAGTGCATTTAAGGGAATTTTGCTGTGGCAGCAGTTTGATGCTCGGGTCATAGACCAGAGCTTCATTAGCCCCTAAGCTAGATGTTGTCCAAATACAAACCAAAGAGATTGCTTCTTTCAGTAACAGTTTCAGTTCTTGCTCTGCCTTTTTTTATTCTTGAGGACAGAAAAACGCTGCAATTTAATACAAAATTAAAACTAATGTTCTGTACTGCATGCTCCTGTGTTGTATCACAGACACACAGAAGTGTGGAGCCAAAGCTATTTTTTTCTTTTTGTATGAAATTGTTTCATAGGATTGGACCAGGTCCCTAGTACAGAACTGTTTCCTGAGAAAATGTATTCTACTCTTATTATAGATGTGTCATGTAAATACATTAAAACCAAATAAATCAACCATATGCATGAAATGGATCATTCTGCTCTCATGAACTAGGGGCTAGTTCCTCCAACCCCAACTTACAGGTGTAGTCTTTACTATGGTGAGCAACTTCACTGCAAAGGAAGGACACTAACCTCGAGCAATGGTTTTCAGGATACCACATAGTGCAATCTAGCATTCAGACTAAAAGCTTAATGTCACAAAAATGCTTTGGTGCATATATAAAAATACAGGTAGCCCTGTCAAACTCAGCCTATGCTTAACAATATTCTGGAGGAAGGCCTATGTGAACAAAACACGCAAAGCAAATAAAATCCTTGAGAATTATTTTAGTTTAAAAATTTAAGAACTCGGTTGCAGCCCAGGTAATTTTTAATATATTTGTTATTTTGGCAATAAAAGGCATATAGGGTAACATTATATACTCATCATTGCTGGCATATAATTGTACTTTGTAAGAAGGTATGTTAGGAGGGTATGTTAATCTGCAATTACAGATTGCTTTCACTAAAAATGAAAAACGCTATTAAAAACTTAAATCCAGGTAAATACATGACTTTGAAATATCACCACCTTCATCCCCGGATTTTATTAACAGTCACATTAGACTGGTGAAAATGTAGTACTCTTCTGCTCCAATTGTTACCTGCAGAGCTGAAAGCCTGCAGAGCCCTAATTTTATGATGACCAGTGCACATGATGACCGGTACTTCCCAAGAGCTGGCAGAAGAACATGCTTTTCATCCATCACACTATTCACCAGACCCTTCTGAAACGGCCTGTTAATGACAATGATGCTCATTTTCTTCCTGCCCCTCAAGTTCACTTTCTAATAGCTGTTTCTTCCTGACCATGACCCATAAAATCATTACATAGGCACTTTCATCTACAGAGGGAGGAAAAGAACTGCTGAACTCAAGTAAAAAGAAAGTAGTATTCGGTGTGTTACTTAAATGCATTGATTTAGTACAAGAACCTTTCCATTCAATCAGTGTGGATGGCTAATGTTTTACTGCACTTGACACCCCCTATTCCCATGGTTTGGAATCTCAGCAGCAGCAGTACAGCTGGAAGTCAGGATAGCACATCATAAATCCACTGGATTTTTACCAGTTAAGCTAGTTGCTCACTGTGCAGATAAAAATAAGCACTTGGACAGCATTTTATGGCCAGAAAATGCTTTCCAAATAAAAGAAAAGCACCAGTCAACCGGAGTTAGGTAATTAATCTTCACACATGGCTATAAGGCATTGCTAGCCCCATTTTACGGTTAAGGAAAGCGAAGGAGAGAAATGAATCTACTTGCCTAAGCTGAAGGACAGTGTAAATGGCAGAGCCAAAATTAGAAACTGGAAAATCTTGGCTTGTAGCCCTATGCTCAAAGCACTACAACAAATGTGACCCAGAGATGAAACAGAAAGGAACACTGCGCAGGGCAGCAAGGCTCCCTGCAAACAAACATCAGAACTAGTTCTCAGAAACTTCAGGGACTAAAATAACCATCCTTGCTAGCATGAGCATGCCACCGAGTCCTTACAGAATTTCCCATCGCTTGCTCCAGTTGTTTTTGAGGATTTTAAGTAAGAAAGCAATAGTAGGAAGTACTAAAATAGAAAAGCTTCTTTATGTGCTTCTAAAGAAAATATTGCCCCTTATATATTCTGTGGCTTGACTTCAACTTCATTAAACCCCTTAACAGATGCATACTTTAGAAAGGTTATCCATTAAAGGCAAAACCACAAAAGACAAGTTCAAGGTTGTCCAGTGGCAGAAACTGTGTATTCTGTTTTTGTTTTAGTCCTCCAATAATTCTGTCAGACAAATAAAATAAAAGGAACTGTCTGTCTCAGTCTGAAGGGTTAGTTAAGATTCACAAACCGTATGCATTAGAGCTCAATATCATATTCCCACAGTAGCCATGGTATTATTATGCTTGTTAGAAGACTTTAACCCTCACAGTCACTATGCAATTTCAGATTGGCCTTGGGAGTCCGTCTAAGAAAAGAAATCCTATTTTGGGATCAGTTGTGACCCTTATTCCATACTTGGTCTAATGTGGCCTCGTCGCAAAGATGACAAGCTTGGGCTCCTAAACAATGGCCCTGGCAATGCAACAGATCCATCATTTCCTTATCCAATTTAAGGTTGCTATTTTTATAGAGAAAAGTGCTAATAGCAGAAACAGCTTCTTCCACAAGGTGCAGCTCCACCTCTGAATTACAGTTTTGTTTGTTCATGTTTTTTTGAGGATGCTGCTGTGTGTGCTTTTTTTTGGTTTGTTGTTGTTGTTGTTTTTAAGAAATCACATATTTATCTATATACACGATATATAAATATATTTTACAAATATCTATATAAATTGTCATACGTATTACCAGCAAGCATTTTACCTTGTGGTCCATACTGGCTCATCTGAGGCCCATAAGTACCACTTGAATTACTCTGCTGAAAGCTACTGATTCCAGGATGCACTTGGCCTCCAGGTGAGGGGTGTGGTGACATGGAAGGTCCAGTTTGCTGAGGTCCATACTGTGACATCTGGGGGTTCCTTTGTATGCCTGCCATAAAACCTAAAGGGAAAAAAATGCCAAAGCAAAAATTAATATTCAGGTAACTGTTCTTTATTTAAGAAATCTTTGACATTAAAAATCCCCAAACCTCTTTACTTATTGTCACACTAAAGATAGCCAGAAAACTGCTACTGTTCACATGAACAGAAACAAACTCATCTCCAACTCAGCAAAGCTGTCCCAACAACCAAAACCTGTATACAAGGCTCAAAAACTTTTGCTTCTTAAAGGAAGGCAGGGCAGTCCTGCTTAGTTACAAACAGCTGCTGATTTTAAAATTAAAACAATCTTTAGGAAAAAAAAATGAGGGCAATTATCTGCATTACCTAATAAGTAGTAGGGAATTTGCCTGATGACTTATGGTGGGAGTATCATAACATCCAAAATTACATGTTGCTACTAAAAAGCATAACTTCAGCATATAGAAATCCACTGTAAATACACCTCTACTGCCCACAAACTCTGAGGAGCTAATATTTCCCTTTATGCGAAGACCAGTCATACCAGCCAGAAAAAAAAGTCATTTTGGTGTGCATTTGTGCTCTAGGTCCTTCTTCTGGTCTATCCCCAGCACACCTTTATTGCATTCTCTCCTTTTTCCCTTTCATAAATCTATTAATGAATCCCAATTAAATTTAAGGTTCAAAAGCTACAGCAAGAGATCAAATGAAATGCTATGAAGTCTAGAAGCTTCATACAAAGGAAAAGAACTAAGCTTATTAAATGGGAGAAGAAGAGGGTTTTAAGTGTTCATAAACGGGGAAAAATCCTGCAATCCTGCCCATGAAATGTCTATACAGGGATGTTGGTTTTCTAATGTTGTACCTTGCGAAGTTTTATCGCTGCTGTCAGTGTTGAAGAGGATGTGCTCTACAGACACACACAGACACATGATCAAACTCGTAACTGAAAACACTGAGGCACTACAGCTCCCGTGACCAGGAGGCTCAGGGGTCTCTCTCTCTGTGGGGATCACAGCCCCAGCAAGCACGTCTTGAACTCCAGAGAGTAAATTTCTCATCCTAGTGCTGCCGTCAGTGACATGGTAGGTGACACGGGGCAAACGACCTTCCTGCCCTTCTGCAGGTCAGCCTCCCCATTTGTACACGGATGACAAAGCAGTGTACGAAATTGGACAGCATCTGTGATGTAAAAATGAAGGTGGCATGTACTTTACCGGAGATCAGGCTTTGAGTCCAAACATGTAAACAGTTCTTGAGCCCTCCACCACCCTTTGCTATATAGCATACGTATCCATCCACTAAAACGCTGTCAAAGAGACAACAAGCTCCATGTCCCAGGTTGTAAGGAGAAAAACCAGGAGCTGAGATGATCTTGCACCCCCTTGTGCTATGAAGAACTCACCCCATAATGTGCTAAAACACTAAAAACTGCAAGGTTTGCCAGAATATGCAGAGTTTTCCTTATCTTTGTGCAAGGCCCAAGACAAGGGATTTGATCAAACCTGAACTGCAAAGTCAGAGCCTGGCACCTGCTCTGGAGGCAGCTGGACCACACGCACTGGCCATGGGGCACAGCAAACAACCGAGGGCGAAATGGCAGCTTGGAAACTGGTCTGTACTGCTGGAAAACTCCACACTACTGCGAAGGAAAGCTGTATGACCTTCTCCACTTTGCTTTATTTTGAAACAGACCCCTCAATTTTTAAAATAGTTCCACTCTGCTCACAAATCTTATTGCAAAGCCTACACCTTCTGCCGACAGTGCTGTAACTAATTTAGAGACCTAATACAATCGTATGTCTGTATGAAATAAATGCTTGCATTCCTGACGCACACACCCCATATATATCACACTCGTGGGATCCATTTAAATGAAAAATCTTGTACTGGTCACACTAAGTTTTTTATTATAAAGATAGTAAAGCTACTCCTGTATCTAGTACAGAAGTGAGGGCTTTCTGTTCACTGTGGGCCTTTTAATCTATACAAGATAACGTTTCAAACATTGTGCTAGTGATAAAGGTTTTTCAGCCCAGTTATTATTGCAGGCAGTATGTTTCTTAACACCACAAGGATGGATGACACATTGAAAAGCTATCGTTTGTACAGGTTGTAGGGATGCAGAGAGACTGTCGGTTGTTGAATCTAATGGAGAACACAGACTAATGTCTAACGGAAAACATGCAGAACATCAGTTTTAGCCAGCTCTGCTGTTGTCAGAAGGCGTCCTGAAGGGACTAAAGTAATAAGTGAAATAAATGTTTCCACTCAAATGACCTCTTCTTCAGGAAACTTCTCCTAATCCGTTTCTGATGCTGTGGAGTGGACTGCATGGCTATGTGTACAGTCATAAATAAAACATGCCAGGACCATTCCCTGGCTTGTGTCCATCCAGCTAAACTTTCCCACTCAATCCTGGTAGTCTTATTTGTATGACTCCTCTGTGCAGTCCTTTGTGCTGCCTTATCCATGCCCTGAGCTGTGTGGCTCAGGGACTGCTCACAGGCACCGGCCAAAACCATGCCATGGAGCATGCCAGTAATTCAACAGTAGAGACAACTGTGTGATCCTCTTCAGATTTATGCTCTGGCCTTAGTTTGCAGAGATGTCGATTAACACAAGAAGAACAGAACAGACTCCTTAACAGCTTTTGATGTGAGGCATGAGTTTCATCATCCCAGAGGCTGTGAGATCCCTCTCAAGTGAGGTTGGCTTTGCTGTCTTCTCTTGAGCATGGACAGGTAAAGAATTAAAGAAAAGGAAGCCCGAAATTCAGGAAGAATATCTGTGCCATATTATCTTCCATCACTGTCTGTATGGTATATTGAAGAACAGTCTTAAAATAGGACATGCTCCAGCTTCCTTCCAGAGAGCAGAGGAGCCATTTCAGCCATAGATGTGGTGTAGAGAAGGTAAGATCAGGTCCTTACTGTGATCTGGATTCCACTACAACAGAGGAGTCTATGCTCATCTACCTCCTTGAGAGACCAGTGAACTTTCAGAGATCAGTGCATGAGTCTGAAGTGTTTCAAATACTTGCAGGAAGCCCAGATGTCTTAGAGAGAAAAAGGGTTCCTGGTCAAGACATTAACATTCTTGCATCATAACGAGAAAACAACATCAATTCTAGAAATCTCATCAGAAATGAAAGGGAGCAGCTTGCATACATTCATTTTTCCTTATTTACACACATTTTCCCTAGTGTTCAACTTCATTTTATAACTGAAACAAAAATAAATAATTTTTTTCCCAGAAAATTAGATCTAAGATAAAGTTTTCTTTTGTAAAGAAGGGGAAGTAGGATTACATTAGAGCTGCACTGGAGCAAAGGCAGTGGAGTGATTAAACAGCCACACTGCATCTGACATGTCAACTTCCGTGACAACAAGGCAGGATTTTCTGTCTTTTAAATAAACTGCTAAGAAACACCTATGAATTAAGACTTTAAAAACTGCAATGGCAACATGCTCATCAGTGAACAAATCTACTCCCTTCCCTTAGTGATAAAAGAGGTACAGACAATGCTTTACTTGCCATCACAACAACAGATTACTTACCGAAAAAACACTTGAGTGGATTTTGGCAAACTAAGCCATTTCAGGAGGAGCTGAATAAAGTGAGCATGCCAGAATATTATCTTCCTTTTAAGTTATTTTTTAATACTACATTTACATACCTAAAGAATGGTTGTCTTTATTAAAACCCAGTTTAAAGTTGTAGAGTCATCTTTGCTTTTTTTAGTTCTAAATGAAACAGTAGCATACTATTACAATTAGCACACGATAACTATAATAAAATGTTTCCATGTTCAAACAGAACATACATACAAGGTTTAAAATTTGTCAGGTGGCAGCGTATTTTTCTTCTTTATTTTTAGCAAAGTATAGAGAAAAATTATAAAGCAGGCAATGCTTATGATCAAAGTGTTTCTGCTGCTTTGACAAACAAAAAGACAAAAATGAAGCTTCTGTTGTCCTAAACAATACTAAAACCTGGTAATATACATCATACAGCTAAGGCCATTTATGATGCCTTTGTAAAAACATTTAAAATCTTGTTTTTCTCTTACGCATACGCATACACAAAACAGATAACAGTAAATGATGAAAGCTTCATGAAATCATGCACTAAGGTTGTCTTAATTACATCTGTACACTGACCAATACAAAATCAACTCTTTGTTGAATACTATCTCTTTGACACTAACCATGAAAAGCAACCGACAAATGTGCTGGGTGGTGCTGTAAAATCTGAAATGGATTCTTTTGATATTTTAAAGTCTTGGTTTGAATATGAAAAAACCTTTCCAGGAAAGCAGAGGCTCAGACTAAAAGGAAGTAACTGCAAAGTAATGAATTATTGCTGCAAGAGGGTAGGTTTAGACTAGATATTAGGAAGAATTTTTTTCCTGTGAGGGTGGTGAGGCACTGGAACAGGCTGCCCAGAGAAGCTGTGGATGCCCCATCCCTGGAGATGTTCAAGGCCAGGCTGGATGAGGCTTTGAGCAACCTGGGCTAGTGAAGGGTGTCCCTGCCCATGGCAGGGGGGTTGGAACTAGATGACCTTGAAGATCCCTTCCAGCCCAAACCATTCCATGATTCTACGATATCAGCTGATGGACAGCAACTGTCTACTGGCACACACTTTACCCACAGTCAATTAAAGGTCTTTTGATTTAGCCAGGAGTAGTGCACTGATTTTCATGAATGAAATAGCCCTGAAAACCTACAGAACACTTACTCATTTTAAGCTTGGGAAAACTTTGGAGTTAACAGTGACAGCAGATCAACACTAAATTACACATTTAATAAATAAAAACTGAGGAAAGATACAGCTTGCAACAGTACTTTGTAAAAAGGAACTTATGTAAGAAAAAATATATCAGGCTATCGCTCTTTCTAGAGAGGCATGCTTAGTGACAGAGCATGGGACCGAAACGGCTGAGGAAACCTTCTGGGTAAGGAAGTTCTCCTTGTGAAAGGGCAGAAGCTAAAGAAGGGACTAGACAGGCTTATTACTCTGAAAATCATGGAATGA